CTAATATTCCTAATATTCCTTATTACCTATACTATTTGTTAAGGGGCATTTGAATTTTGACAAATTATCCTTGCTTTCCTACTTGTTACATGACGTGACAAACAAGCAAACAAACAAAAAATGACTTGCATGATTGAAATGAGGCACCTCGAAATTTGACCAGCTGAAAATCACGAAATTACAGTTCGAAGTATTATTTTGAAAGTGGCATAAGTCACTTTGCAATTACGACAAATGGCAATGAGGAAACGTTCGTGTCTGTACAATATAAGATACAAGTATCAAAAAAAAAAAATCGTCTCTAAAAGTTGGCACCGATTTTTCTACGCAAACCCCCTCAAGTTAATATGTCCAATTTAATAATTTAAATATGACATATTTAATATAAGAATATTATAATATATAATATTTAATACAATATTATTATAATATATAATATTTAATAAAATATTTAACTTTTATAAATTTAACATAATACAAGTTAAAATTTTAATATAAGTTAATTATACTTATAAGTATAAATCCTAAATTTAATAATTTAAATATGACATATTTAATATAATAATATTACAATATATAATATTTAATACATAATTTAACTCTGATAAATTTAACATAACACAAATTAAAATTTTAATATAAGTTAATCGAATTTATAAATATAAGTCTTAAATTTAATAATTTAAACACATATTTAACACAATATTATTATACAATATAATTAAATATTATATATTATAACAATATTATTATAATATATAATATAATATTTAATTTTTATAAATTTGACATAATATAAGTTAATTAAATTTATAAATATAAGTCTTAAATTTAATAATTTAAATACATACTTAACACAATATTATTATACAATATAATTAAATATTGTATATTATAACAATATTATTATTATAATATATAATATTTAATACAATATTTAACTCTGATAAATTTAACATAACACAAGTTAAAATTTTAATATAAGTTAATTAAACTTATAAATATAAATCTTAATCTTAATTTAATAATTCAAATACATATTTAACACAGTATTATTATATAATATAATTAAATATTATATATTATAACAATATTATTATAATATATAATATTTAACATAATATTTAACTCTGATAAATTTAACGTAACACAAGTTAAAATTTTAATATAAGTTAATTAAACTTACAAATATAAATCTTAATCCTAATTTAATAATTCAAATACATATTCAACACAGTATTATTATATAATATAATTAAATATTGTATATTATAACAATATTATTACAATATATAATATTTAATACAATATTTAATTTTTATAACTTTTACACGATACAAGTTAATTAAACTTATAAATATAAGTCTCAAATTTAATAATTTAAATATAACGGTTTAAAAACCAAGTGACCTGTTAGGTTAGGTTTTAAGTTTAGATTAGGTTCGGTCACGCTTTTAAAATAAACGGCGGAGAGGGAGGGGAAGGGCTCGCGCTTAGACGATATTTTCACGGATGCATCTCTGCATGATCGGTCATTTTCTCTTCGTTTCTTTTCGAGTTCTGCGTGTCGTTGCGCGGGAGTATCGTCGGAAAGGACGCGAAACTGTGCCGGTCGGGATCGATTTGGCAGAAGTAACGGGAGACCGAGTGTGTCTGCCAGGGGAGGAGTCTGTACATATAGAGGTAGAAGCGAGTCGCGAAGCGATTCAGTCTCGTCCAAGTCACGCGACATTCCGACAGAACGTCGGGCCGTGTCCCAGAAAATCGCGAAAGTCGGCAACCAGCTCGCCTCCTTTTCGGCCCAGGTGTCACGAACTGCGTTACCAACTTGCCAACCACGTGCTTCTGCCTCGTGTCGAGTGTCATACATACACACACACACACACACACACACACACAACAGACGCGACAGGTCAGCCGGCAGCAACTGATCGATCTTCGTCCCATCTGTGAGTCATTTCGTAATTGTTCGATTCGTCTCATTCTTAAACTGTGGATTTTCAAACATTTTTCTCGTTTTTTTTTTTTCTTTTTTCACTTTCTCTTTATGTGTATCTACGATGATTTAGGAATTGGCATTCCCATCTTTGTTGGTTGTTTAAAAATTTTGGATTTTTTGTTTTAGAAAATTTTTATATTATATATATATAAAAATATATATATATATATATATATATATATATATGTATATGTGCTATATTTCGATTAGTTAAAATTTAAGATGAAACAGGAGTATTATAGAGCGTGCGATAGTGTAAATATTGGATAAAACATCGAACATTGTGTATCTCTGTATCTTTATTTGTTGATTGGGATAATACTTCATGTTAATGAAATAGATGATAAATTATGATGATTATTAGATTATGTGTATTATATAGATTATAAGTATTATTATACATTATTATTGTTATCATTATTTATGATTGCACGGTAGATAAAAATTGATTATCATTATTTATTATTACACTGTAGATTAAAATTTTGTAGATTATACGATAGTTACGTTTACATTGATTAAGACTGAATCAAACGAAAATCAATTTGTCTATTCAGTCATTCAGTTTCTTAATTGGTTAAGGAATAGTCAAAGATAAAATGAAGAGACTCGCTGCACGATTTTTTTCCCGCCAATTTTTTCGAAAGTTTAACGTCAGTCGAAAATGTTGGGATCTTCTGAATTTTCGTCATCCGAGACGAACGTTCGAGGTTGGATAAAGTGATGAAAACAAATGATTGCAAAGGGGAGGTTGCGTTTCGAAAGTAGAGGCTTCGAGATTTAAAGCCAGCCCAAGTTTATTGTCGTACGATTCTTTTTTCTTTTAATTTACAAAATTATAACAGTTCCAATTTCCAGTATCTAAACTTTTAGAAATAACTTGGCGTATAATACTTTTTCGTCGTTTATTCTTCCTCATTGGCTAGTAACATCTGACTTTCATGTTTTTCTTTTCCTTTTTTTAATAATACGGCTGAGACTATGAATCTGCATAAATATCCGCAGCTTAACGATGATTTCTCGGATTTAGTTTCATGAGCCAGCATTTGTCCATTGCAAAAATAATGACCAAGCAAAATGATCTCGATTTTTTGTACAATTTTTTTCTCACCTTCGAACATCAGAATCAAACGACAGAAATTAAGAAGAAAAGAAATTCTAATGTTCAAAGAATTTAACAAAATGACGAAGAAAAATACAACGAGTTTAAATTAAAAAAAAAAAAAAAATCGCATGTGCATTCTCTGAGCGCATCATATCGTTGCATTTACAAAGAAAGCCTACACAGTTCCTCTACAACTTCTTTCGATTGTATTTGTATAGTAAGTTGTTCCAATTTATGACTGCAAACCCGTACAAATAAATTTTTGTTAGATACTTTATACGTACGTACGTCGATATGCAAACAGTATATTTTTACAGACTCGATTGATCATTCGTCAGATATATCCGTGAACAAAGTATTGCTTGTGTAGTTTATTATATTATAATTTAGTTTATTATATTATATTATAATTTACAATAGTAATAATTTATAATTTATAATAATGTATTCATTACAGCAATATAATATATGAATATCGTAATATATTATATGTATTACAATATAATAATATTTACAATAATATTTGAAACATTAATATTTAATATATATATAAGAATATAATATAATATAATATAATAATAATAAATTAATAATAATTTAAAATAAATTAAATAATATATTAATTTAAAATTATATTAAATTGTTATATACATATAACAATAATATTTGTAATATTAATATTTAATATATACATAACAATATAATATAATATAATAATAATATATTAAAATAAATATATTATTATAAATATATTAAAATAAATTAAATAAAATTAAATAATATATTAATTTAAAATTAAATTAAATTGTTATAATATATATAACAATTTAATATAACAATAATATTTGTAATATTAATATTCAATATATTATTAACTTATTGCATTACGAGTTTTTTTTATTTTTTTTTTTTTCACTTTCGGAAATTTTCTTGCTTCAGTTTTATTAGTCAAGTAACTTCTTACTTCACTTGTTGCATTTTTTGTTACTGGCCTACCAGCGAGTTCCAATCTATCGACGACGAGAGAACGTTCCACCCTCTCGCTTTTCTCGCGGAATGATGAACCAGAATAACAGAAACAACGCACTCGTTAACGTCGAATTAATCCAGCCGCAATCGTTTCAAGGATTCGCAATCAATTAGACTATCTCGGCTTCCATGCCGTTGAATTGAATTATCCGCGCTGTCAAAGTCCAACTGCCACCGTGCACAGCTTAATTAATTGCTCCCTGTACTTGCATTATCGTTATCGTTATCGTCCGTCTGGCGTTATCGAGTTCGATCGGTTTACAAGATTATCCGAACTTACTTGTTAGAGACATTTTGTCTCAACGTGTCCCGTCGTCGCGTATATACAGAGTGAATAGGAAAAAGGATTCGTAACTTCTAAAGGGTAGAGAAGTTAGAACCGAGTATTGAAGAGGGTAAGAGTAATTGAACAGGAAGACTGAGCTATTTGTCTCGAAAGAAAAATTCACAATTCAAACCTCAAGCCTCAACATGCTTTAATAAACCGTTATAAAATAATAATATTGAAACTGTTATAATTTTGTAAAAAAAGAAAAAAAAGAATCGTGCGTAATTTTTATATAAATTGTTAAATTTATATTAATTCTTAAAACTAAATATATATATATATATATATTTATTATAATTCTTAAAATTAAATATATATATATTTATAACTAAATTTGTATTATATTAATATAATATAATATAATATAATATAATGTAATATAATATAATATAATATAATATAATATAATATAATATAATATAATATAATATAATATAATATAATATAATATAAATATTAATAAAAATTAAAGCAATAATAATAAAACGAAATACAGATACATACAAAATAAAATATACACTTAATTAAAGAATACGTCTAATTTGAGTCAACCTCGGAAAAAATCGACGATGATGAGAAATCGCGGGGGTGGGGAAAAACTCGGAAGCGTAGGAACGTGTTTCTTTATCAATTCTATGTTTCGACGCGAGGAAAACGTCGCGCCCGAACGATTTACTGCCGATATGCGCCTTACTTCTCGTATTTTCCACGGCACTGTCACTGCCACGATTTACGGCCCAGTTCCACTTATAGACGCCGCTACGAATTCGCTGATAACGAAATCGAAAACACCACATTACACATTCACCATTGTGTATTCGCGTCGACAAATTCGGAGATTCTCTTTCTCCCACCTGTCTGTCGGTCGATACTTTATTACGATATAATTAGAATACAATTTATTTATCATATATTATTTTATCATACATTTAATATATATTTATTACGACTGACTTTACGATTATTATTGACATTGGCCATGATTAACAGATTTGTTACAATATCACTCCGATATATTTATTATTACTGACATTACTACGATCAGCAGTAGGAATGCCATTGCAAAGAACGGATACGCCAATTACAACAATGAAAAACACGAAAAATGCAGGATTACAAAGAGACGAGGTATCAAGCATATTACGCAGTTTTAAAACTATAAATTGCCGTTCTCGTTATCTTGTTTCATAGCGTTTCAACGGAACATCAACGATTAGAACTTAGACGATCAATGCACGATGCGAATCTTGCGCGAAGGTGGCAATTAAAGTGATTAGAAATGGGACGGTGTTATTGCAACGCTGGTGTTAAATTCGGCGCGAGTAAATCTCTCTCTCTCTGTTTTGAATTGTTTTGGACAGGTCGAGGTATGGAGCAAGCTGGGATCTCGATAATACAGACTGGTGGGATCACCGACACCACGGTGGGAAAATCGAAAAGCGTCGGCATCTCGTTCGGTCCGGGCAACGGCCTACAGGCTGCCAAGGAGAAGCTGAAGACGCCATGTGAGCCCCCTCCATTGCATTTTTATTTCTCATAAAATTATTCACGCACATAGAACTGAATTTATAGATATAGAAAATTTCGTACGCGTCACGTACGACGAGATTTCTGACGATTGGTTTTGGATTTATTACATTATATTATATTTATCTGTATTGTACTGGACAGATAGAACCAGAAGAAATTGTCTACACCAGTTTACATCAGTTCACTCGATCAGTCGTTTGTCTCTGTTAGTTTAATTGCTTGTTAATTTGCTAACGATATTTTTATCGTATTCTGCACGAAAATTTCTTATCTATTGCGGAAACAAGGCTTGAAATTTTATGCAAAGCTTAAATGAGAATAGATAGATTGTATTATCAAACTTAAATGAGAATATTTATTTGTAACTAACGTCTGCTCGTCAGATCGTAAGAGCATAACAATTTTATTTTATATTAGGCGAAAGGAAAATTGGAACGCAATTGTTTTCCCAAATTACACTTGGTGCACTTTATTGGACCAAAGTATTTCAAATACTTTTCATTTTTTTTTATTATTACTAGCTATTTGAAATATAAAAGTTCGCTAGTTTCTCCACAATATTATTATTTTATTTTTCTTTTCATTGCTGTAATTTTTATACTTTTTATTATATATCATCACAGTATCAAATACTTTTCATTTTTTTTTTTTATTATTACTAGCAATTTGAAATATAAACGTTCGCCAGTTTCTCCACAATATTATTATATATATATATTATTTTTATTACATATATTTTATTTTAATTATATATATTATTTTATTTTTCTTTTCATTACTGTAATTTTTATACTTTTCATTGTGTATCATCACAGTACCAATACTTTTCTTTTTTTTTTTATTATTACTAGCAATTTTAAATACAAAAGTTCGCCAGTTTCTCCACAATATTATTATTTTATTTTTTCTTTTCATTGCTGTAATTTTTATACTTTTCATTATATATCACAGTACCAAATACTTTTCATGTTTTTTTTTATTATTACTAGCAATTTGAAATATAAAAGTTCGCCAATTTCTCACAAATTATTATATATATATTATTTTAATTATATATATATTATTTTATTTTTCTTTTCATTGCTGTAATTTTTATACTTTCCATTATATATCACAGTACCAAATACTTTTCATGTTTTTTTTTTTATTATTACTAGCAATTTGAAATATAAAAGTTCGCCAGTTTCTCCACAAATTATTATATATATATTATTTTTATTATATATATATTATTTTAATTATATATATATATTATTTTCATTATATATATTTTATTTTAATTATATATATATTATTTTATTTTTCTTTTCATTGCTGTAATTTTTATACTTTTCATTATATATCACAATACCAAATACTTTTCATTTTTTTTTATTATTACTAGCAATTTAAAATATAAAAGTTCGCCAGTTTCTCCACAATATTATTATATATATATATTATTTTTATTATATATATTTTATTTTAATTATATATATATATTATTTTATTTTTCTTTTCATTACTGTAATTTTTATACTTTTCATTGTATATCATCACAGTATCAAATACTTTTCATTTTTTTTTTTTTTATTATTACTAGCAATTTAAAATATAAAAGTTCGCCAGTTCCTCCACAATATTATTACTTTATTTTCTCTTTCTATTGCTGTAATTTTTTCTGCTAAACAAACCGCTGTATTTCCTCCATCAAGTAGAAACCATACACTCGTACTTAAGCTTAAATCGAACGCACGAGATCATATACAAAATTGACAGGAGTTATTCCAACCCACAGTATTTAACAAACGATTTTCTCAATAACTTTTCCTCCATCCTTTACAACAATCGTGAGAACTCATTCCATCGCGCGAAACGACGACGAAAGTTCTAATCCCGCGGCAGTTCGTTCACCCGACGATTAAAAAGAAAAAGGGGGAAAAAGTGGAGAGGGAGAGAGAGAGAGAGAGAGAGAGAGATGAAAGGACGATCGAACGAGGTCTGGTGGAGGTTTTCTGGCGTCGCGATGAAATTCTACTAGAAGAAAACCGAATAAAAATTCGATCGCAGACCGCGTAGAAAGGTGCGTGCTGGCACCGGTTCTCCCTCCCCTCCCCTCCCGGTGAAAGAAAAGAAAGTACACGCGTCGTGCATTTCAGGAAATCAGGTGACCGGAGATCTCGCGCCGATCGGCCGTAAAGTGCATCACGTGAAAACAAGCAACCACGTGACAGTCTAGTGACAGGGAGGAGATCGTACGTACTATCGCGAGTATGGTCGAAAACAATTGCTTCGCGAAACGATTCACGTTGGTGAGAACAACGTTTTACTCCTCTCGTTGTGTCTCATCTTCTTTTTCTTCTTTTCAACTCTTGTTTCTCATAACTTTACAATTCCTTTCCATCATTATCTGCTATTGTACATTTTTTTATTTCCTCACTCGGTTGGATGTCATTTGAAATGACGATTAGTTGAAGTAGTTCGTTATCTCAAATTATTATATGTTACAGTAATTATTAATATCTGTATATGTAATGCGTAATATATATTTTTTTTTATTTCATTCTAAATAAAATACCGATATAGAATGATCATTGACAAATAATTTTTATTACGTCGTACATTTTATTATGTTATTTATTGTTATATATTTTTTTATTATTATTATCTTTGTTTTCTAATTTATCAAAATCATCAAGATTAAAATTATTAATTAATTTATTAAAATTTATCAAGATTAAAATTATTAATTAATTTATTAAAATTGTCGATTTTGGAATGTTTTTTTTTTCTTTTCCTTTTAAAAGGTTTCTTTTGAAAGATATTTATCTCAATAGTTATCTCGCGTTGCAGATTTTTAAGGCAATTTGGAGGGGAAGGGGGGAAGACAACTATTAGTTGAAATAGTTTATTATCTCAAGTTATTATATATTACAATAATTATTAATATCTGTATATATGAATTTTTTTATTTCATTCTAAATAAAATACTGATGTAGAATGACATCACTGACAAATAATTTATCTATTCTTTATTACATCGTACATTTCATTATGTTATTTATTATTACATATTTCTTATTATTATCTTCTTTATTTTCTATTTTATTAAAATTATCAAGATTAAGGTCGATTTTGGAATGTTTGTTTTTTCTTTTCTTTCTAAGAGGTTTCTTCTTGGCGTGAAAGATATTTATCTCAATAGCTTTCTCGCGTTGCAGATTTTTAAGACAATTTTGGGGGGGGGGGGAAGAGGGGGGGAAAATGCAAATTTTCGATTAGGACTTTCTTTTTTCAACTAGTTACTCGAACGTTTCTTACACACGACGATTTCCCAAATTTCATGACGTGTGTTTTCACAGGATTATAAAAAGTACGAGGAATGGTGCACCAGTTTTTCAATCAGTTTTCATCTGAGAAACTGAGATTCTAGTAGAAAATTACAGTTACAACTTCGTGAAGTTTCAATAATTCACCTAGTTCTTTTTCTCAAGTCAGAGGAAGTAAGTCGATTTCAATAGAAATGTTAGAATGAAAGGAAATCGACGATAATTTGATTCGGGTACTTCCCCTGGAATACAATTTACCATCCAAATGTCCCTAGAATGGCATTAAATATTACCAGAAGGATATTCACCTTTTAAATATCTTCGTGGTTCGTTTTAAACGATTTCAACGGCAGCAAAGGCAAAACGATGAATTATATTTACTTGCAGACGTCAAAGTTTGAATACCTCTGCGGTGAATAATAACCCGGAAGATGGCTCCATTCGTGCGGCCACGCGTCACAGTGGCATAGTGAGAGATAATTAGATGTTAATGAACAGTCATTGCCAGTTGCTCGAATTTGCACGACGTCATTGCCAGTTACAAATTGCCGCAATTATGAAATCGAATGGTTACTCTGACTCTACGATTCCACTATATTTGCACGAAATTCGATCCTAAAATCACCAGATTTTACTCTTTCGATTTAAAAATACACTGGAAGTTAGAAATTTTTCTAATCATGAATTCTAAGAAGAGGCTTAATAAATTTGCCATTAGATCAATTTCGGATTTATTTCAAACTTTAGAATTGGTCTCAGATTATTCATTGTTTCAAGATCAATTTCGGATTAATTGTTGAGAAACTCGAGATTTTATTGTGAGAATCAAACGTGAGCATAGGTCTGTGAAACTGGCACTCAGGAAAGGTCAAAAATATCTGGTTTTTTCCCACGGTGACGAGAAAGATCCACGGTGAGTGAGCTTGTTAGAAACACCGTTACGGAAACTCAGGGCTAACCGTGCTAATTTCCCTATTGCACAATGAAACGAATATTACTAGAGAAATTTTACAGGCCCGAGTGAGAAGTTACTACTAATTAATACCAACCGAATGAAACCCAACCACTCTTCTGTAGAAAGTTCACTCTATTTAATTGATGTAACAATGTAATTACACTCTCAAAAATTTTATAATAACGTACATTTAAATAAAAATTGAAAATATTCTGTAAGACATATATATATAGAAAAAAATGCTTTATAATTAGAATATCGTTTGCTCGCAAGTTAAGTTAGAAAAATGTTACTAGATTGCGACTGTTTAATCCAATTTAAAAATCTGAGAACTGATAGTTGTTACAAGCAAGCAAATTTATATTATATACAGAAAAAAATGCTTTATAACTAGAATTTCGTTTGCTCGCAAGTTAGGTTAGAAAAATGTTACTAGATTGTGACTGTTTAATCCAATTAAAAAATCTGAGAACTGATAGTTGTTACAAGCAAGCAAATTTCTATATATATAGAAAAAAATGCTTATAACTAGAATTTCGTTTGCTCGCAAATTAGGTTAGAAAAATGTTACTAGATTGCGACTGTTTAATCCAATTAAAAAATCTGAGAACTGATAGTTGTTACAAGCAAGCAAATTTCTATATATATAGAAAAAAATGCTTATAACTAGAATTTCGTTTGCTCGCAAATTAGGTTAGAAAAATGTTACTAGATTGCGACTGTTTAATCCAATTAAAAAATCTGAGAACTGATAGTTGTTACAAGCAAGCAAATTTCTATATATATAGAAAAAAATGCTTATAACTAGAATTTCGTTTGCTCGCAAATTAGGTTAGAAAAATGTTACTAGATTGCGACTGTTTAATCCAATTTAAAAATCTGAGAATTGATAGTTGTTACAAGCAAGCAAATTTATATTATATACAGAAAAAAATGCTTTATAACTAGAATTTCGTTTGCTCGCAAGTTAGGTTAGAAAAATGTTACTAGATTGTGACTGTTTAATCCAATTTAAAAATCTGAGAACTGATAGTTGTTAGAAGCAAACAAATTTTGTATAAGACACTATACAAAGTTGACGACAACGACGTAGCAAAGTCCAAAAGGTCGGAAGGCCCCGCTTTCGATTGTTTAGCCTGATTTATGTACAGATGCATTCGCGAATGCATCGTGTTCTCATGATTGTCCCACTTATGAAACGCAAATCACAGTATCACTAGTGTGATATCGAACCGATATGATCGCCATGGTTTCCCTCGTTTTTCACGTTCCACATACTTTCGCGCGGAAACTTTCTTTCCGGCCCCTGAAAGTCATCGATAAGCGAGAATTCTATCCGAATCTCTTGCCCCACGAATATTCGCGTAATTTTGTTCGGTGAAAATCAGCTTCGCGACGCGTTAATCATCGCCGATCGAGAACGATCCGAGTAGAAAGCTGCACGTGATGCATGCTTTTTAATAAGCGTGACTGGGAGAGAAGCGAACCTAACCTCGCTAAATTGTCGTTGAGCACGAGATCGTAATAATGAGCGTGACGAGTCTACGCTGTGCAGAGGAAGACTGTGCAAATTGTGTTTTGCAAGTTGAAGATTTTCTTTTTTTTTACAATATTTAAAGTCGTTTTTTTTAAAATTGAAAATCAATGTGGAATCATATTTGAAAAGTTGGGTTAAGGTTAAGAGATATTTCGACTTCAATATGGCGTCATGGTAATATACTGTGTCATAATATAACTTACGACGTGCATATAAATTTATGGTATATAATTACATGATATATGAAATAAATACGAATATAAATATATAATTATACTATAATTATATTATAATATATATTAATTTAACATAGTGGATATATATAATTATAGTAATTTAACATAGTGGATGGACGACGCCATGTTGGAATTAGAATATCTTCTAACCTTACTGTATCATCTCAAATATTTCGGTCAAACTTTATATACACTTTAATGGTTGAAACCAGAAATTGTAAAAGGACGACAATATATACTGTAAAACATGACGATTAAATTCCCTAGGAATTATCTAAGAAAAATCTAATTATCGCCTAAAAGATTTTCTCACACAAAGAGCTAGCCAAATATAAATCACTGGAGAAAAAAAACTTTGAAATTCAGTCGCTTGTTAAACATAGCCTCGATTAAGAATGTGCTTCGAATGGTCAGAACAGTAGTTTTTCTGCTGTCACGGTGGACGTTTGCGATACGGTTCGATTAGACACCGTTAATCCAGTCGATGGAGGAGAAAAAAAAGACTGGAATTGTGTCGTTTTGGAGACCGGTCAGCGGACATTCACCGCGCACTTGACCCACTGTCATACTCGTGCGACTGTGCGAGAGACAGAGAGAGAGAGAGAGAGAGAGAGAGCGATCAACTCACAATCGCTAGATTCACTCATGTTTTGTCGAGTGTTTTCGAAATAAAACAGATCGATCGGATTGTTGTTAATCAGGCATTTCGTATCGAGATGTCGCAATCGGGGACAGCTATCTTCCGATTACGTCAATCTCAAGTGTTTTTAAGTCGATGAAAGCGAGGCTTCGATAGCTTGATTGTTTTCTAATTGCGTCTCCTTATGTTATCCGATAACTTGAAATTGATCTTCCACTTGAGTAGAGAGATCAAGTCGATTCACACCTAATCTCGTTCTAACATCGGCTAACTATCAAAATTGTTGTTGGATTAAGCTAATCGTCTTCAGCTAATTCTATTTACAATTTGAAAAGCGATCTTCGAAAAGAATGTTTATTAAAATTACTTCAAGTGTGTCGATACCCTTCGCGCGAAGATCTAAATCGAATCTATCCTCGATCAAGCGTCGCCATACTGTCAGAGCCAATTTGTACATTGTACGACCGGCTTCGATCAAAATTCAATCGATGAAATTAAAGCGGGACGAGGTGATTTCTTTTCTCTGTTTTACTTTCTTTTTTTTCTTTTTTTTTTCTTCTTCTTTTCCATAGTCAGATATTCGGGGAATTTATCGAGCGAGGTGATGCTCAGGCGAACGTGTTGCGGAAAGCGCGGAAGCGACGTTAATTGGAGCGTGGAACGCTCGTGCAAGAAGTAGTCCTCGATCTTGGGAGCTTTCGCGCGTGCTCTTGTCGAATCGCGTGGTATACGGGGCCGTGGTACGACTAAACTGCGGCGAGACAGAAATTAATTCCGTGCGCGCTTTCTACTACAATTCCCTCGGCACGCTATTAATTCGAGAGGGACTCTATTGTTTCAGTTTCCACCGCATCGAGATATCTAATGCCCGGCCAACCTGTAAATCACGTGGTACAACGCTACATTCTCTAAGCTGTACATACTACATCTGATTGGGGGGGAGGAGGGGGGGGATATCAAATAATTATGGACCAGTTGGGAATCACTGTTTCAAGATTTTTGAGAATCTGAAAGTTTTCAGTCGGAAAATAATAAGTATTTTACGACCAACGGTATCTCAAGTGGTATCACCGGCTTTTTATTTCTTATATATATATATATTTTCTGTGAAGATCAGTGATAAACTTGAATTAAATAAAAGAGCGCCGAAATTGAATCATTCAGAATACCAAATTCCAACAATTATCATCGGCTCAATGGTAAAAAATAAATAAGCTATAAATTTTGCTAGTTGAAAATTCTAAGGTAATATGCAATAAAAGGTAGTTTAAAATTATTTAATTTCGAAATTTATTTTTCCGTGTCAAACAATGAATTTAAAACGCAAATGAAATATTCCAAATCCCAGTAAAATTCTACTGTGAAAAATGTAGTATAGAGCACACTATTTTTATTAAAAAAAAAAAAATAACAGTGAACTGATTTACAGTATGATTATAATAAAATACTAAAGAAACCCTACCTTACATATATATATATACTCTCGTGTAGATAGTGCGAGTGTTGAATAAACGAAGTTCCATCGTATTTCACGCGAATTAACCCTCCATACGTTATGTTAGTGAAAAAAAATCGCTATCGGAGTTTCTATCGTTACGGTTTTTCTTTTCTTTTTTTTTTTTTTTTTTATCGAGTT